GTATACATTTGAAGTATTTCATTTTTTTTTTTTTTTTAAAGATTGAAAAGAAAAGAAACACAGATAGGTAGGCTAATATAGTCCTTGACTATAGGTGGAGAAGATGAGCTGTCTTGCTCCAGGCAGAAGCAGGTTCCTGGACAGGATACCAAGTGAAACCACCAGCTAACAGTGTGGCTTTAACTTGGCACTTTCTGTTACCACTACCGTCACTACTGCCTTGACTACCATCATGACAACAGCAGCTGTCATTTATTAAGCCGTTATTTCATGCCAAGAGATTGACTTACATAATCGTACTTAATCAGCCTTCCAACTTCATGAGCTAGGTTTTTTTGCTCCCATTTTACATGTGAGTAAACAGGTGTAGAGGCCAGCGACTTGCCCACTGTCATCCAGCCAGTAATATCTGTCGGACTCAACTACTACGCTACTGTCTTCCTTCACCTTGTTTTTAATATCTGGAGGTGAGAGAGTATATTTGCAAACTCTATACCTCTAGAATGGTGTTTTTCAATTTGCAATTCATGGCACTAAGTGGTTTATAAAATCAACTTAATGGATTAAAAGCATAGAATAAAAAAAAATCAGAATGTATCAGCTGTTCCTGCAGCTATTGTTTCTGATTTGTTTTGTGCATGTGTCTATGTATGTGTGTACTAACAAAATATTGCATGGGAAAATAGACTTCCTATCTGGGGTCACTGTCAGAAAGATTTAGAGCTACTGTTGTAGACTTACTGTAAAGGTCAAATAAATGTAAAAAGTTGTTGTAGAGCTTTTGTCAAGTCTAAAACACTCTGCAAGCACAAATTATCATTCTCATTTAACATTGGAAGCTGAAGCAAACAAATAGAGGCTGGCAGAGATGGTGACAGGCTGTTGTTCACTTATCCTGTCCATGGCAGACCTTGCTGATCTCTCACTACCTTGTGTCTAGTCCAGCCAGTAGTCAGCTTTGAAGTTCCTCCACTCGGCACCTCAGACCTTCTGATAAAACCTGTTTGTATACCCTGCAATAGACTCCGGCATTGCTGGAGTACTTTAGGGCCCATCTGTTATTAGAAAAGCACTTCTCAGTGCTTACAGAGCTCTGCTCTCATGTAACCTCTAGCAAAACAGATGTGATTCCTATGACAGCATGGAAATCACTGCCTTACAGGCCTCAAAAGGGGGTAGTCTCCTCCTCTCATAACACTCCTCTACCACCACCACCACCATCCTCATCAGAGGTTACATCCTTCCTCCTCTCAAAGGGTTTCCTGAGACCCCATCTATTTCCCCTTTCCCAAGGCTGTTTGCATTAGAACATGCTCTTTCCTCATCAATTGCAATTCATGAGGCAGCTACCTAGAACATGGGTTACAAATCCCCCCAACCCTCAAGAGCCACCCTGAAGTTGTCATGTCCCCCAAGAGATGCACTGCTCCTGAGGCTCTGCAGCAGACTCAAGTGATCATACAGGAACGGAGTCTCTCCCAAGCGCCTGTCACGTGTGGGACTGTTTCTCTGCAATCTCCAAAGGGGGCCTATAGAATTGGCGGTTCTCTTAGAAGGCACCAGATGTAGGAATCTGAAAGGCATGACTCCTTCAGTGCGGTGTGCAACTCACAGGAAGCTTCTGTGTGTGGATTTCAAGTCAAGACTCAACATGATGTTCTGAACTGTGTGAGGAGTAGCTCAGGCAGCTCAGTTACCAAAACAGAAAGCAGGTTCTGGGTGTTTTATGGAACTCGCTAATGAGCGAGTCCTGTGGCCCCTGCTTTACTGGCATCACAGCACCCTGCCAGCCTACTTTCCACACATCTGTAAATTCATCAAGCTACAATGGATGGTTGGTACCAAGAGAGGCTGAGGCCTTGGCCTTTCTCTCTGGGATACATGGAGATCTCAAGCCATTAATAATTTATCCTGGAGTAATGAACATAACTGTACCAAGTTGTGAGCAGTAATAATCGAGCGACAGATCCAATTTATTACTTCAGTGTGCCAAAAGATAATTCTAGTTAGAATGAAAGGTATGGCTTTTCCCTCCCAAAAGTTTTCTAAGACTTAGATCAATGTGTTTTTTTAAGTTCCAAAATAAAATAGATCGTTAAAAGGGAAATGAATTATGCTGGGTAGCCTCAAGCTTGTTTACATCCAGAGCTGCTGATCCAGAATTACTTTACCTTTCCTCCAAATGCCCTTGGGCATTGGGGCCTGCATATCAAAGTAATTATTACTCATTAACTAAATCTAGCAAATGGAACGCAGCTCAAGACCTTGAAACAGGAGATTAGGATAGTTGAGATACATTACCCCAAATTGTCAATAATAATTTGAAGTTTTACGACTAAGTACCAGGGTTGGGACTAAGAAACTCCCCTCATCTTTTACCACCTCAGTGGACACTCACTGTGCTTTTCCTGTGCCAAGCACAGTGCTTAGCATGGAATTCAGCAAGTCAAATGCTGTAGTTCCCCTCCTTGGGCCCTGGCAGACACATCAACACAGCGTGATAAACACGGGGCAGGCCTACCGTGTCTTCATCAGGGGTGGGGAACTGGGGAAAGATTAGGAAAAGATTCAGAAAGGAAGGGGCCATTCGAGCTGAGCCTTGTGAATCAAAAGCTTCCTTACCAAGCAAAGGAAGCAAAAGAACATTCCAGGGAAAGGAATGACATAGATAAAGGCAGAGAGGTATGAAAGTGGATTAGGATAGAGAGGGAATCATTGTAACAATTACTACATGACTTACCACATTTAATCTGTGCAGCAGCCTCATGGCTTAGACATTTTATGACCCAACCTCCCCCTTTGGTTTAAGATGAAGAACACCCAAAGTGCAGACATATTGAGTCACTGGCCTGAGACTTAAGGCTAGGAGGTGGCAGAGGAAGACTTAGAGACAGATGATTTGGAAAAAGTGTGCTGTTTTGTAAGCCTTCACACTTTGTGTTTAAAACACTGGGGCTCACCAAGACTTTATTGATGTCATTATGAAAACAATTGCACAGGCATCATTAAACACTTCCCCTGGGCCACGGCAATAGTGTTCTCTCCCAACTAGGAGGAGAGGGGTGAGACTGTGGCCATTCTCAGCAGAGGAACAACATGCTCTGTAACTGGTGTGGCAGGTAGGATAGAGCTGAACCTCCAGGTTCTAGAGTCAAGAAGCCTGGTTAGAGACTGTTGCTTTAGTCAGCTGTATCGTGAAGAAATATGATGGGGAAAAATGATCACTACCCAAACCATATGTTTTTATATGGGTCTACAATTTATAAGTGCTTTTATACATAAATAGCTTGTTGATCCACTTGCACAAGGGACTTTTGTGACAAGAGAAGTAAGTCTACTGACTTAATTCATTTGGGAGGGGAAGTATAAGGACATAGAATTCCCTTCCCCCACACAGAAACTGATGTTGAAAGTGGCAATGTTAAAAGCAGCTTGTAAATATGCCTGCTTGCTGATTGACTGAGGCACAGAACCAAAGTCTCTTCCCTCTTGCCAGGTAAGAATTTGACTGTCTGCATTAACTGTTTCAGCCTTGAACCATGATATGAACCATGATATAATTCTGAGTAATGGAAAACTATGAGTAAAACCGGGAGACTCAGTAGGAACTAAGAAAACGTTTATAAAATATTCTCTGTGGACCAGAAACAGGCCAGGATATCAGTGGCAACCTTCCTTGCTGCAGGTGTTGTTTAGCAATCAAAAATCAAATTCGCTTTCTACGGTTAAAGTTGCATAGACCTAACTGTGCTGCTCTGCCCTCTGTACAGGAGGAACTCAAACTCTTAGCCCTAAAAAATTATAGACAAGTGCACATCTGCTGATAAAAGTGGTTGATCTAATATTTCAATAAAGACTCAGTTTAAAAACCAGCACTTAAGGCAGTGCAGTCTTTTCTTCCTACAAAATAGAAGTATACAAGAGAAACAGTGCAGGCATTTATAGAATTGTGTGAAAAAATACTCAGTCTAAATAGCACTAAATGCTAGGGAGGTAGGTCTGTGCAAACTGTCGGTCTCTATCCAGTTTCTCTCTAGTCTCAAGTTAGTAATGAATAGCTTCCTTCTTCTAACAGGTGATTCAGGAAAGCTCGTGATGTTTTCTTAACAAAACTGAAAGGCATTAATGTTTAATTTCTTTGTTGTCAGTAGATAATTTGTGTATTTTTATATATGAAACCAGCAAATGGACAATAGAGATTTATAGTAGGTCATGGTGGCCTGGGCATGGAGTCCAGATATGTTTTGAGTAGTTGTTAATCCAAAAATATGCATATATATTTAGCAAATTACTCAGACCCAGCTCCTGCTGGCCTTGTGTGTTTGTTACAGTTTGAGTGTAAGTGACAATATAAATACAGCCATACACATGGATATACAGTAGTGCATTTGTATTTCTGTTTATGCCGCATGCTTTACTTAATGTGGGATGCGTGTGTAATCTGGCAGGCTTTTAATACTGGAGTCTAAAGTGCTGAATTTCCTGACTTGGTTTTAAATATCCTGATCTGCCCATTTTAATTAGGTCTATTTTGTGCCTATGTTTACACATGTATTAAAGCTATCAAGAGTTCTTTTTATTTGCACTAGAGAAAATGCTAATGATGGCAGTGTTTTAAGCAGCAGCCAAGTACATAAATTGTAATTAAGAGGGATTAGCAGTTAACCTGGACTCGTAGCCTAGGGATTCAGATGTGCAAAGGTTCGTAATTTGGCAGATAGTTGCTTCAGTTGGCTGATTGTTTTGAGCAAAATGGAAATGATAGAGTGTCACATCCTGAAACAGCAAAATAGCCTGCATGCTAAAGATTTCTGAAACTTTGGTAGATAAAAATTAAAAGTAAAAAAGTCTCTCTTTTGACTGATGGCATCTGAGGACAACATCCCAAGTTCTGGCTCCAGCAGATGAGGAGCTCTAGATGGTAGGAAGGGTACGGGGAGACCCACTGTCTCTGTGTACACTGTTTCTCTCATCTGTGCCCTTTTTTTCTTCCCTCTCAGTGTTGCTAACAACCACAAGCAGAATTTGATGACTGTGGCCAACCTTGGTGTCGTGTTTGGACCCACTCTGCTGCGCCCTCAGGAAGAAACAGTGGCAGCCATCATGGATATCAAATTTCAGAACATTGTCATTGAGATCCTGATAGAAAACCATGAAAAGGTAATGTCCAATTGGTTACTGACAGTGAAGAACTTACTTTGGGGAAAACTGCGTTGGCACTGGCTTCCAGAGGTGACCGTTTGCACGCTAGTGGCTCTTGCAGCGTAATGAAGATGCTGATGGTGGTGAAGGTTATCATAAGAGTGGTGGCAGAGATGGCAACAGTGGTGACAACAATGGGGGTTATGGTGGTGGACAATGTTTATTGAGCATTAATTCTGTGCCAGGAACTGTATTGAGCACTTCGTATGTTGTTATTTTATTCTCACCACAGTTAAATGGAAGAGGAACTAATATGAACCTCATTTTGGAAACACCCTTTACCTATTTTTTACAGGATAATCTTCTTATGAATTCATCTGTTTTAATATTAGAGATATTAAACTTTCTTCATTTGTGTTGTAAATATTTTTCTCATAGCTTGTCTTTCAGTTCTATAAATGGCCATACAGTGTGCATATTCCGTCTTTCCTCGTAAGGCGTCGGGCGTCTGGTCTTTTCTAACTGCGAGCAGAGTGGGTGCCATAGCTGCCTTCACCTGTCCCGCTCCATTGCTCTTAGTAGCAAATGCCTGTGATGTTTCTCAGAACTCACGTAGGGTTTCCAGGGGTACCATTGGGCAGCCACAACTCTGGAATCTAATAAGAAATGCTATTCCTCCTAAATAAAAACTTTGCCTAGAATGGTGAATTAATGAGGCAAAATAAATCTCGAATCTGAGCACTCCTTACCACCTGCACGGGCACCAGTCCAACCTGAGCCACCATCGCCGCTTTACAAGCGCCTCCTGACTTGCTTCCTTTCCTCTGCCCTTGGCCTTTCTATACTGATTTTACCAGAATGACATTTTTAAAATGCTGAATCAGATCATTTCAGTTGTCTGCTAAGAATCACCCAGTCAGAGTTAGAGGTCAGAGCCCTGAAATGAGAATATGGACTTAGAAGGTCCTCCATGCCCCGCTGCCCCCTGCACCGTTACTCACTCGATCTCATCTCCTGCATGTCTCCCATAACCAGCTTGACTGCCTTCCTGTGTCTGATACATGGCAGGCACACTCCCACCCAAGGCCTTTGCAGTTGCTATTCCCATCACCTAGAGCCCTGTTCCTTCATAAAACCACATAATACATGTCTTCTCTTCCTTCAAGCATCTAGTGAAGCCTAGTGAAGCCTGTCATGGCCTCCAGCATTGCCTTTCCTCTGCCTTGTCTCTTTTCATAAGTCTAAAGGCAAAATTACAAGTTTAGTTTAAAGTTCTTAAATTGGCTTTTATTTGTGATTCTAGAATCAGGCAGCACCTCATTCTATAAAATAGAATGAACATTTCAGTGAGCTGCACAGAGGAAGCTGGCTGGCTTTATAGACAGAAAAGGACTGATGAAAGCATTTTTGAAACAGAGAACAAAAAGCAGATTGGTTGTTTTGAAGTTGCTTTTCTTGTAAAGGTTAAAACAGAGGGGACTTCCTTAGCATGCTGGCTAATACTGGCCTGTTTGGGGATTTGACTATTACCTTTCTCTTCTTAGTTTTTGAAAGACCAGATGCTTAGTTTTGACTTGGTGGCCTGGAATGTCAGCATGGTGACTCCATTTTGTTTTGGTCTGTTGTACAGAGGGCAGGAGCTCAGTCCAAACCAATAGCTTTCTATAAATTTTATTTAGCACATAGCACCTCACGCAGCATGAAGCATACTATATAATTTACTTACTGACAAGAGCCACTGCCTTTCTGACCTCTACTAACATGTGTGTGTCACAGAAGCAGGGACTTTTGTCTGTTCTACTCACTGCTTAGTCCCCAGTGCCTTGATAGGTGCCCAGTACATGGGTCTCAGATGGATGGGTTGCTGGCTTCTAAACTGCCTCCCAGTGATCACTTCCTCCTGGTGCTCCTTCCCATGTGGTCCCCTCCAGCTCTCACTAGGGCTAGCTTAGGTGACCAAGAGGATATCAGAGATATAATGGTGTGTGACTTCTGAGACTGGTCCTAAAGGGCTTTGCAGCCTTTGCCTTGGTTTCCAGATTTGCCCACTCCGGGAGCGGTAAACTTCCATTTGGTGAAGGCAGTCACACAGCCCTGTGGGAAGGAACTGAGGCTTACCGCCAACAACTAGACCAGTTTGCCAGCCATGTGAAGCAAGCAACCTGGGAAGAGAACCCTCCCACTCTAATCAAGCCTTTGATGATACAGCCCAGCCACTATCTTGAGTGCAGCCTCATAAGAGACCCTGAGCCAGAACCTTCCTAAGAGGCCCCTCCTAAATTCCTGGCCCACAGAAACTGGGAGAGACACTAAATGTTTGTTGTTTTAAGCTGCTAGGTTTAGGGTCATTTGTTATGGAGACTTATATACCCACCAGAGAATCTGTGAATGTAAATTTCCACAAGGTAACAGAGGTATCCTGCAAATGTGTTTAAGCAACATAGTCCTTCTCTTACATGGTTAATAAAAGCTGTAAAAATTTTTTGAGGAAAATACCCTCTTTCTATCCCCAATTTAGAGTCCCATCAACCCACCTCCCTCAAATATTGGAAACCATATGTAGGAACCTCTTATGTTATAATGAAAGTGAATTTGTGGAAAGGCAGCAGGATGTATTAGCAGTTAATAACATGGTTTCTAAAGGCAACCATTTGGATTGAAATCCAAAACTTCCTAAGCAGTTGTGTGACCATGAGCATCTGGATTACTGAACCTCTTTATGCTCAGAGAAATATGTTTAACTGCTATAACAACACCCAGATATCAATGACTGAGTACACTAGATGTTAATCCTTTGTTTACGTAACAATTCAATGTGGATAATCTGAACGTGGCCTCCTTGAGGGTAAGTTAGTGACCCTGGTTCCTTCCATCTTGTAGCTCTGCCTTTTGCTCTGCAGATTGTCTGAAAATATTCAGCAGAGGGGGGAAGTGAGAGAGCATGGAAGATCAGATAAAAATGTTTGGACCATGCCTGGAAGATTATCATTATATGTTTTTCCATACCTCATTGACCAGAACTAGTCACAAGGCCGTGTCTAACTGCAAGGGAGGTCAGGAAAAGCAACCAATTGTGTGCTCAGAGGAAAGGAGAGCAAGTTCGATGATCAACACACCCATCTGCCAGACTTCTTTCATTGATTTATTTGTGAGGGTTAAATGAGGTGATTTATGTAAAGGATTTAGTCAAGGTTCTGGCATATAGCAAGCACTGGTAACTCTTAAAGCTTTGTTTTTATCAATCTCAGTAGAATCCTCTGGAAATAGAGCTCAAGTCCATCGTGGAATGTCATGTGTGCCCTTCTTCCAAAATAGTACTTTTAATATTTTAATCATTTTTTAAAATAAAAATTTAAATGTTGAGACAAATCTCTAATGAACAAGCAGTACAATTAATGTTTTGGTCCCTCTAGAACCTAATTTTAGCTATGTCAGGATGCATCTAATGTTTTTTTGTTTGTTTGTTTTTAAAGTGTAAGGGTCTTTTTTTTTTAAATTCAGATTAATATGAGGGTACAAATATTTAGATTACATTGTTTTCATTTCTAAGGTAAAGTTCAAGTTGTAGCTGAGCCCTTCACCCAGGGGGTGCTGAACACCCTCACATTGTGCACACGAGGTGAGATCCCCCCACTCACCTTCCCTCTCATCTAATGGTTTTTGAACTATGACTTTTTGGGTCATCCTTGAGCTTTCAAAGACAGAAAACATATTCAAAATTTGTCAGTAAAAGAAGGATCTGATGTTACTAGTAACAATACTGAAGCTTGTATAAAAAAACAGCCATCCTGCCGTGGGTACAACATATAGAAAGAGAAAGGAAATATGAAACGTATGGCAGAGGCTATAAATATCTGGGCAGGAGTTGAGGGGGAAACCTAGTTTGGTGGATTATAAGTTATGTTACTCTGTTGTTTATTTGGTGATATAGGTAGAGTATTACAGCCCCTCACTTGGTGTTCTTCTTTATGAGTCTGTGCAAGAGAGTGAGATGCAATAAGATGTAGGTTCTGTTGGGAGCCCACAAAGGAGTAGAGTGTGAGTGAAAACACCCCCAGGATAAAGGCTCCATCCTTGTGTATGTCCCCAGTCCTGAGGCAGTTAGCATATCAGCAAGACAAGAGTTTTTAATCTGGAGTTCATGATGGGCCAGAGTTATATGCAAGACCTATGTGTGCCTGTTATACTGGGGAGATAGTTCTTAATATTTATCAGGTAAAATCAACTCAGAATAAGGCAGCCTGACTCCTTTCTGATTGTTGCTCCGGATCTGGCTTGTATGAAGTGAGGAGATGCCATCATGGTCTCCCTGGAAGCCTCTGGTGTTCACTTTACAGCAATCCTGAGCATCCAGGGCTGTGTTCTGGCCTCCAGATTTGATGGGTACAGCTCAGTTAGTCATAAGTTATTCTTATGTCTTCAGAAGAACATAGTCTGAGATGTGTTCTTTGTAATCCACGATATTAAGGTCTTAGTTAATAATATTTAATGTGCATTTCCTTAGGCTTAGCTATAATTTTCTGGAAACACACACAGTGTCTAGGAGTGACTACTCTTCTGTCTAATCTTTAGTGTCAGAAGTTGGACAAAATCCTGAAACCCCACTTCAAGAATGTTTTCTTTTCATCCTTTTCATATGACAGCATGCACCCTCTTGCTTAAAACAGTCTCTAGCACAGGGCTTAAGCATCTTCCTCCCAGTTACTGGCATAGTCTTCTCTCATGTTGTTAGAAACTCTTTATATAAGGTATTAAAGTAATGATGAGGAGGATCTAGAAATAAATAGAAGATAGTGCTCATCGTTAATATTTTGAAATAAAAAATTAAAAGAGAGATACTGCTGGAAGGACGGTGTGGCCCCCAGCCCTTGGAGCTGCTCCATAGAGATAGATCCATAAGATGCCTGTTTTAATTTTCTATGGCTACATAACAAATCCTCTCCAGACCTAATGACTTAAAATAGCAATGATTTTATTGCTCACAATTCTGTGAGTCAGAAACTTGGGAAGGACTCGTG